GTCTCCTGAGGTCTCTGTCTCCTGAGGTCTCTGTCTCCTGAGGTCTCTACGTCTCCTGAGGTCTCTACATCTGCTGTGGCACCTACGTCTCCTGTGGCACCTTGGTCCTTCGCATCGCCTTGGCCCCATGCCTTGCCTTGGCCCCACGTTTTGCCTGGGTCCTTCACCTCATCCAGGCTCCTCACCTGAAGTGCTCGAGCAAGATGGACGGTCTTCCAGCCACCTGCCTAGACTCTTCATGTTTTTCCCTAGTCTCCCTCTTGTGTTCCCTGGTGCCCTCCGTCCTGTTTCCCCCCTCCACCCACACAAGTTTTTGAGGAGTGGGTTTCTGGAGGATGACTGGAAATGTCCTTTAAGATGGAGGTACTGTAGGGATTGTGGTCTGTTTCATGGTGTATGCCTCCATCTAGTGTTGTGTGTCTGTTCCTGCACTCCCTGATTTCCTTGTTTGTCATTTTTCCCTGGTGTGGTTCAGCTGTGTGTTCTCACATGTGCTTTGTCTCGTTGGTCACTGTATATAAGTTTGTGTCTCTGTGTTAGTCCTTCGTCCTGGCATTGTGATGTCCCGTCCTCTTCCTGTGAGTCCATCTAAGTTTTGCTGTCCTGACAACCATTTGTTTTCTTGTTAATAAATACTTATTTTATATATCTCCTGAGATTTTCTGCCTGCACCACTGGGTTTACCTCCTCCAGCCATTATTACAACAGTGTAGTGGTTAAGTACAAACTCTTTAACTTCTCAGTATCAGTACTCAGTATTGGTAAGAACCCAAACTGAAATACTTACATTGTGTTTGAAAAACAAACAAACAAACACAAACCACTCGTATCAGGACACCCCTAATAAATACTACGCTTAAATGCATGTTTCACTAAAGTCACTGCATGGACTCTATAAAAAGATTTACACCATATTAAGGTAGTAAGATATTTAAAGTGTAAAGAAACATTTTCTTTTTCTTCTGTAGGCCTTCCAGTCAGCCCAGGGAGCTTTGCATCTCAAAGGATTAACAAATGATGTTAACCCAAATCAAGGTATGCTTGAATTCTCCCATCACTCACTCACTCCTTTTCTTTCTCTTTTTCTTGTTTATCAGCCTTAAATTGATTTTTTTGTGTATGCCACATTTTGAGCTATACAATTTTTTTTCATTTGGCTATGAGAGTTCACATCTGAACATTAGCAACATGCAAAACATGGTCTTGCAAAACAAGTGTGGTTATTTTTATGCTTTGAACACTTCAAAATGATGATTTCATGCACATGATGACTGCCTGATAGTCTGCTAACTGAAAGCTCTGCCTCCCTTATTACTTTTATTTTTTCACAGTTAATTAAAATGCTCAAGGTAGTTAAAACTTTCAAGACTATTTCAAAGTACTTTGAAACCACAATATTCTCTACATGGTACAAATCAGTTGTAAAAGGTTATACTTTACAGCTCTAAAATAATCCAACAATAGTGAAGGGCTTCATAGTTAAAAGTGTGCAATCAGTTTTAATTTGGGAAGCCATCATAGCAGACAAAGATAACTGTTAGGTAACTTCCACTTGAGCAATGGCAATACGGTTTTTAGGGATGGGGCCAATCCGGTATCGGGCTCCGATCCGGTATTGTAACAGCCTCCGATACCAGCATAATTTACATATCGGATTTTTCCGATCCAACCTGCAGAAATTTCCGATCCATGATGCATATTGGCTTCAAACTATGGAATAGATTTCCTGAATGGAGGCGTGTCTCATGAACCCAGAGTAATAAGACCCGCCTCACATTCAGGAAATCCATTTCATAGTTTGCAGCCAGCTAAAACATGCAGTAGCACTGTGGCTAACAGCTAATCGACTTTTCATCGAAACATGTCCGCTGTGTGGAAGTATTTTACACTAGAAAAACCACAAAACAAGACAGCAACATGCGATGTCTGCAGAGCCACAGCACCACATTAAACCGTGGTAAAGTTAGTTTTATGTTGGACATTCAAGCTCTGGGGCTTCAGCGGGGCTCTACTCATGCTCAACCCGAAACAGGCAATTCGACCCCAGCCAGCCGCGCAGAACCTGCCCGTCTCTGAGGAGGCACAGACTCCGCGCGGATGACCGAAATCAGGCTGCTTGCTTCGAACTGAACAAGAAGAAGACATCGCTGAAGCCCTGGAGCTTGAATGTTTACTGAGAAGTCGCTAAACTTCATCGTAATTAATGACCATCCACTATCAGTTGTAGAAAACGATGGATTTCTCAGCTTGATATTTGGAGCCAAGATATAGTTTACCCTTCAGGAGATCTTTATCAGTACAACAGTAGACAATCGTAAAAAAACCATGATATAAAAATTACAAGAAAATTATATAATTAAAAAAAAGAAACAAAAACAAGTACATTATAAAGTGATGTAAAATACTAAAAACAGGAACATGTCTGTTGGTTTATGCCAGTGCTTCTCAATTATTTTCTGTTATGCCCAACCCCCCCCCCCCCCAGAAGAAGTAAACAATTTGCGCCCCCCATCTCGCCGCTGCGACTGTAAATAGTATGTTTATAAAATTATAAGTACACCTCTGCCTAACATTGTGTCCTTATTAACGTTAAAGAAAAAAAAATAATATAGATCAACTTACGAGGAAGAATAACTTTATTAACCTTGTTTTTTAGTCTGTAACAGAATCAATTTGCCTGAAAAAAAAAATCCTTTTTTTATTATTATTATTATTATTTTTTTTTTTTTTGTGCTGGGGTGGGTTCGTGGTGGGCACGGGGTCTTGGGGTTCTGGGGGCTTGTCGCCCCCGGGCTTGGGCCTGTGGGGATCAGGGATCTTGGGCTCTGGCGGGCGCGTTGCTGGGCTCTGGGCCGGCTTGCGCTCTGGTGTCCGGTTCTGGGCGGGGGCCTTCGGCTCGCTGGTAGGTTGTGGGTTCATGGGCTGGGGGATTGGGTGTTTGGGGGCGTGACCAGTGGCCCCTAAGAGTGGGTAGTTTGACCCAGCCTAGGTGTCTAGTGTGCTATGTGTTTTGAGAGATGTCCGAATGAGGGGTGGGTGTAGTATTTCTTCTGGGATGGGGACTGGGTGGATGTCCTTGGGGGCGGCCCTGGACTGTGCATGGCCGACTGGCTGACCCCTTTCCTGTGGTGGGGGCTCGCTCCCGGTGCTTCCTGGCTCTGTCGGCGGTTGGGCGGGCGCTCTTGGCCTGGTCGTCCTGGTGGGGTTTGGCTTTATCTGGTGGCAGGCTGACTGTGATTTGTGGGGGTCTTGGCGACCCTCGGGTGTGTGGGCCGCTGGTACTGCTTCTGGCGGCCCTCGGGGCTCTGTCCCTCTCTGGTCTGGAGCTCAGCGGGCCTGGCGGTCAGTCCAGATGGAGAGGTGTCTTGGCCTCAATCCCTGGGTGGACCTTGGGGAACTGGGGGGGGGGGGGGGGGGCTGTTGGGTCAGTGGGGGAGCTGACTCCCTGTGGGAGCATTTGCTCTTACAGTTATATTTCTCCCCATCCCTCACCATGCACCTCCGCCCTTTTCATTTCAATTCCAATTTGGGCTCGGGTGTGCTGCAACAATTTTACCTCTCTGTTGACCATAGCCACCTGGGACTCAATTTTATTGTACACCTTAGACATTCACTCATAACATCCTCATGACATTCACATATAGGAACTTGAGGTGGGCACTATCGCTATGGGTGGTGGGATGACTTTACTCTCGCCCCCTGTGCCTGTGCCCACTTACAATGGTTGCATTTAGACACTAGGGTTTGGATAGAGTTGGGGTGGAGGGGAAACTGGCATCATGCCAGCCTTTGCTCCTTCTTCTTTCATTTTTAATGGCACTATACAACAACACACATCAACAGCACATCTAGGGGCGGGGGTGTATGTGTCGGGGTCTTATTCTCTTTTTTTTTTTCCTCACCCCCCTGGTTCCCTAACTGCCATTCCGGGGGTGGGGTCCGGGAGAAGGGCAGGCCGTCGGGTGTTGACCAGGACTATGTGGGGGTTCGGAGTCTGGGGGGTTGCCGTGGGCGGTGCTGGCGCTGTGCTCTCCCTGGGGTTGTTTGGACCCCCTGAGCTTGGCTCTTGGGTGCCATGGTTGGCCCGCTGGCCGGGGTGGCTGCCGGGGCCTGGTGGGCGGTCGGCTGGGGGCGCGTGCTTGGTTGTTGGCGGTGTGTGGGGGTGGTTGGTGGCATGACCTCTTCGTGCCGGGGGGGGTGTCCTGTCGGCTGGGCGTGGCCTGGGCCGGGTCTGGGATATTGGCTCCTCTCCGCTCGAGAATGAATGGGTCTACCTCCTGGGTTTGGGCATGGGCTGCCCCCTGTAGAGGGCGGGTACATGTCTTGGACCTGGGGGGGTATAGAGTGCGTATCGGGAATAAGAATGAAATGTATCGTTATTGTATGTCTTTGAGTGAGTGAGTGTGAGAATGAGGCTGGGACTGTGTGATTGTGTCTGTGTATGAATGGGTATTTGTTAGGCCGAGACTCGGACTGCCCCCTCTTTGATACAACTGGGGGTGCTTGGCATCGCGCCCCTATCGCGCGGCCCCCTGGTGGGGTGTGTCCTTGCCTGCCGGCGCGCTTGGGGCCCTTGGTGTCGGGGGCTGGGCACTTGGGCGTGTGTCGGCTCAGCCTGGTGTCTGCCTGGTGGGGCTCGGGTCCTCTGGCCCTGTCAGGCCTTGGCCTGGGTGGTGTGCGTCCTCGTTGCCCGGGCCTCGTTGCCTGGGCCTCGTTGCCCGGGCCTGGAACTGAATCGGTGCGGCGGGTTCCGGCGGGGGCCTATGAGTTTATCGCTGTTGGCCCGGGGGGGTCACTGCATGTGGTCGCTGGTGGGGATCTTCCGGTTCTCCCCTGTGGTCCGATCTGGGGGGTGGGTGAGTGGTTCGTCCTGTGTGGGTGGCCCTGGGGGCTCCGCGGTCGGGGTCCCTCCTGGGGTCTTGGGCTCTGGTCCCCCCTTTTTTGTCTACCTCTGGTCTTGGGGCTAGGGTCTCTGCTGCTTCACGGTTACTATTAAATGTTCTATTAGAGAAGCCTTATACACTTATGCATGCTCACAGCCACACACAAATAGAAGCAGGGATGCTTATGTAGGCTTTATATGTAGATATATAGATATATAGATATGTATATGAATGTATATTCATGTGTATGTATGTATGTATATAGGCGTAGGTATGGGTATATATATTTATGGAAACCTACTGCAAAGCCATTAATATTTTAAGTTCTTTATACATATGTATTTTGTTGCTGTGTTTTGTCATGTTCTATGCAGGTGAACAGACAGTGGCCGGGTGTTTTGCCGTGTGCTCTCTTTGTGTATATTTCTTATATTTTGGAGTCTTACTTTGTCTTTTCTTTCTTTCTATCCTATTAAAAAAAAAAAAA